TATTTTGCGGAGTGTGTTATTGTGCTGATATCTTAAGGACTGCCATAGACAGCGGACTCCTAAAGTTTTTGATAGTCTTCATAATCTGTGTGGTGGTCAGTTCACACTGATAGAAATTAATCTTCTCCAATAAGTTTAAACTGATTTTTACATTTTATGGGCATTTTTACCTTTATAAAGCCATTCTTTCTAAAAGTGTCCATTATCTTTTGAGTCAAATTCTTACATTTAATCAGTGAATTAGAATAATAAGACATTTGGGCTTTTACCAAGCAAATCAGGATCAACAAAATTCATCTTTGCAATGCAGAGGAAACACAAACGCTGCATCTGAAGTGGTATTTAGATGTATTTACATACTACTGTTTAGTGCAGAACATGAATGCATTTAACCTGCAATTACACATGCATAAATAATGTTTTGATATACTAAACATAAAACGTTTGAAATTATTTAAATAATAAAAGATACCCTGAATGTGAAATAAAGATCGCCAGTAGGGGGCAGTAAGTCACTGTTAATAAGTGAGTCATTGCGATTGAACCGAATCATTTAAATGTTTGATTCATGGTGTCAAATATGTCTCTTAATTAACTTCTTGTTTAGCACATTTCACATTTGTAATCATTCATTTAAAAAAACGGCACTCTTTGTTTGATATTGATTAAATATCAATATATTGTATAAATATATACATTTTCTGCCATCATGTCATGAATTTGTGATCATTCTAAATGTATTGTAGACTGAATCATGCAGTGAAAGAACGCATTCTAAATGCGCACGCGCACTAGTTTAAACTTCACGTAATGTATGCGTGCACTCTGTAGGGGTGTTTTGAAAGGTTTTTGCAAAATACTCGATAACGTCAAATCACACATCGTTAAAACAACGATTAAGATATTATCGCAGATGATATATATCGCACACCCCTATTTAGGCCTATTGATTTTTTGCTAAGGTTTGCATATGGTGGTGTGTTTTTAATGACAGCTTTCCTAAAAATATATCCTATTCCTAACATTTGGGCGGTATTATGCAAATCTTCCCACATCGTGACGTAGACATGTGGGGGCGTGTTAGAATGAGCCGTTTTAGGTAGGCGTGGTTGACTCTTAACTTTTATAAATAATATCTCTTTGGATTTGAGACTTTAGTCTTTGCAATTTTACAGATCTTCTTTATGCACCAAGAGCTTGTAACACTCCAAAGAGAAAGGAAAAATTGAAATTGCATCATATGACCCCTTTAATAACAGCTGATGGCAAACCAGACTAGTTTTATCTAGCTCCTAATCAGTGTTGGGCAGTAACACATTACTTAGTAATGCATTACTGTAATTTGCTTACTTTTTTAGTAACGGAGTAATTTAACGCGTTATAATTTTCAAAATAGTACAAAAGCAACATGAACTAATATAAAATATATAAACGATTAACAGTTGCGAACGTATACAGAGTTTCTATTTAGGCTATAACAGGTGTTTGCAGCGTTGAGCAATGCAGTGCTGAAATTTGCAAGCTCATGAATCCTCTCATTATAATACACGAATTGTAGACATTATGAAAGATTCATTATGCATATATTTATTGTGGTATAACAGGGATTTGTGAGATTGCGATGAACTGAGATGTCTTTTAGAGATTATAAATGCAGCACTCTTTGCTGGCATTCTGCCATCCAAACCATGCACGCAGCAGCCGCTTGCTTTAGTTAAAAATAACAGTGTTCTGTGAATGTTGATGCTTTAATAACAAATATATAGCGGGAGCGTGTATGCTGGGATTTCATCAATTTAATGAAGAAAAAAGTAACGGAACTAGTAATGTAACTAATTACTAATTACTTTCAAAACAAAGTAATCAGAACAGTAACGTGATTACTTTTAAAAGGAGTAATCAGTAATTTGATTACATTTTCAGAGTAACTTGCCCAACACTGCTCCTAATACATGACTACAAAAACACACGGGAAGTTCCTCTGGCCTGTGACCTCTGCTCACCTGTCCTGACACTCGACCAGAAATGAGTCAGCAGGAAAAGCACTGACAAACTGTTCTTATAAAGACTGAACTCTGTGAGACTGCTTTACAATTTACTTCAATAGGCCTATATTTCATAGTGAAAAACTGAAACAGCCTGCAGTCAAAAATAAATTCATAAATTATTTTTTTTTTTAATTCAGATGCTCAGTTAAGTTTAAAAGGTGAAACAAAGCACGAGTACAGAGATTTCACATGCAGCTGAAATCCCAGTGAGCTGCCAACCAGACTAGCATTTTTGGACATCACAGGCAGGTTTGAGTCAGTCATCACAGGTGAGCGAACAGCGATGGCGCCCAAAAATACTGATGATTTTCAAACATTCAGCTCAACCGAGTAAGTGTGGCGTTGTTACACCCGTTTCTCTTATGATCGGATGAGCTCAGTACATTTGATCATAGAAACTGACACACATCAAATTAACACACATCACATAAATGGCACGACTGAGCACAGATTAATTATCTTATTTGAAAAACAAAATATTTGTGGGTTTTAAACACACCTCACATGCACTGAGAGAAAACCAGCTCATCATTACAGGAAAATGTGTACAAGTCAATATAACGTAAAACAAACCAGACATATCAGTGATTATTGTTGTGTAGTCACACATATATTGGTGTGTCAGGTCTAATGTTTGGGTATCTTGTATACATTCACAAATCAGGGTTGTAGGTAAAAATGCCCATAAAATGTAAAAATCTGTTTAAACTTATTGGAGAAGATGAATTTCTATCAGTATGAACTGACCATCACACAGAATATGAAGAATATTAAAAAACATTAGGAGTCAGCTGTCCACGGCAGTCCTTAAGGTACAAGCGCAATAACATACTCAGCAAAATATCGTCTAATTATCGTTATCGATAAAATCCCAGAAAATAGAGATATTATTTTTTGTCAATATCGCACACCCCTAGTTGTTGTGTATAATTTCTGTATATTCACAACCATATAAAGGTGTTATGTCCATTGTTTATATATTTGGTATATATTCACAGTCAGTGTGTCACGTCTGTTGTTTATGAATTCTGCATTTATATTTCACAGACATAACAGTGTATCATTCCTATTGTTTATGTGTCACGTCTGTATACATGGGTGCCATGTCTGATGTGTGCGAGTTAATACCGAAAAAATAAACAACAGACATGTCATTTGTTAATGGTATATATAAATATATTGACACATAACAGGCTGTCAGGTCTGCTGCTTATATTCTGTATAATATATTCACAGACATATAGGTGTATCATGTCTTATGTATATATTTAGTATATTTAAATCACACATATCAGTGTGTCATGTCTGCTGTTTATATATTTTGCACACATAGCAGGCTGTCAGGTCTGTTGTTGATGTAGCACGATAAGCTAGCTAACGCTAATCATTCAATCCATACATTGTCGATCACAAATGGGAGCAAAACGCACATTACAGCCCTGTTTCGGCCATTTGAACATCTCCGTGGCATTCAAACCCCCGAAACAACTGATTTTACACGCATAAACTCGCGCTGTAGGGAATATGTCTGTGAATGTTTCAGTCCTGTCAGAGTCTCACTCACCTAACAGCGCGCGCAGATGCTTCAGACGCGTGAAAACATCCTTCTTTGGGTCCAGAACTTTCTGTGTAGATTTCTTGACGTCTCCATAACCCCTTCGAGTGAACATTCCGCTGTAAAAGGCGATTCTGTAGCCGCTTTTACCTTCCTTTCACCATTCAGACCTGTGTGTCTCTTGTGTGTATGTGTGCAGAACAGCAGCTGCCTGACTGACTGAGCAACGGAGCGCCGGAGCGCAGGGCGCCAGATCCTCTGAAAAAAGCCCCCTCCCTCCGTGAGGACAACCTGCCAGATTTAGACCGGTTTCACACGTGACTGCTGTCATATTTTGCTCTCGCCTAATTAAGCGGATGATATTGACTAACCTAAAAGCTCACACACAAAAGACAAAAGGAACAATTACGTTGTTTATTAAATTTAATTAATTTCATTAAATAATTTTCAGGCTTGGCCATGCCTTGACAAAAAAAAAATAATAATAATAATAATAAAATAGACGAAAAAAATGAACACATCTTATATGCATTCAGTAGGTTATGATGTACAGTAATGCATTAGAACACATCCTTAGGATAAAGAGTACACTGAGATGCATTGACTATATATGTTATATAGGGCGTTTGGGGCCGATGTGGGTGTGTAAATATGGAAGCACACGACAGATAATTATTATTAGTAGTAGTAGTAGTAGTAGTAGTAGCTGAGACATGGGACAAAACAGGTCCAGCAAGGGTAACTGCTATTAGGATTAAAAATAAAAATATTTTCAATTTGAAATGTCATGAGGGACTAATAATAGAATGTATTTAACACAATTATCACCTTCAATTTCATTTTCTCATTATTATACCAAATCTATGTTTCTTAATGTCCTCTCACTACATCTAAAACAGTGTGTCCACAGAGAAGGGTTCAAGCATTCATATGCAATAAATGCAATATGATGAAAAAGAGCTTGTTTTATCAAAAGCAACACTTAAAGTGTGACGTGACATGTGGCCAAGTATGGTGACCCATACTCAGAATTAGTGCTCTGCATTTACCCATCCAAAGTGCACACACACAGCAGTGAACACACACAAACCGTGAACACACACCCGGAGCAGTGGGCAGCCATTTTTGCTGCGGCACCCAGGGAGCAGTTGGGGGTTCGGTGCCTTGCTCAAGGGCACCTCAGTCGTGGTATTGAAGGTGGAGAGAGCGCTGTACATTCACTCCCCCCCACCTACAATCCCTGCCGATTGTATTAGGCCACGACTTCCCACAACTCCTAATCAAAGCAATTTAATAACTCCTATCAAAGCAAGGTTGTTTTTTAATGGCACATGCATGTTTCGTAAGATTTTAAAGTTGCGTCCCCATGCCGTCAGACATTCAATAAAATGTAATAAACTCAGGGAATATCAGGGGCAGCTGTCACTCTAAAGGACCCCCTTGCCACAGTTCACCTCTGCAGAGTACATCCGTGTCAGACAGGCTCTGCTCAGTTTTAGTTTTAGAATATTTTAAATCCTAATGTTAATATTTCCTGTGTCACAGCCATGATATGTCAACACCATCTTCCAATTTCTGAGGAAATATTTAGATAATTGTATTCTCCTGAAGCAGGTTCCATTAGCATCTAGCATCAACAGAAACAAATAAAATGGCT